CCCCCTTTCATTTGGTTCCCCTTTCATCCGCCCCCACTGACTTTTTTCCTTCTTTCCTTTCATGTCCTTCTGTCTTCATGTCTCTTCATCCTCATCCTTTCTTTCTCTTGCGCGCACTATCGTCCGGACCTTAGTTTGTACACATACACGCACGCGTACTTTACTTACAACGAGGTTCAGGTGGCCCAGGTTCGTTACAATGAGGTTTGGCTCATCGGTTGTCCCTCTTCACTTGGTTCCCTTTCATCGGCAACCACACACACCTTTGTCTGTCTTGTCCTTCTCATTTTCATCTGTCCCTTTTGCGTGCACATGTGCCTGCCTCCTTTCCGGGCAGGATGGAGGTCACACATGCCTCCCTTCGGGGAGGCGTGTGTGTGTAACCCTTGGAATCATAGGGATCCTTTTGGATTTGTCAGGTTTGCTTTTCCGGTTTGTTTCACAGCAGGGGGACACGGCACCAGATTGCAGACCGTGTCTAACAAAGCTATGCAATCTGGTGGGATATCCAGCTTGGCCAGCTGGACGTACCTGCAATTTTCCTTTTCCGAATGGCAAGAGGCTAAGCCGAGAACCTCACGACACGGTGTTGCTTAGGGATTTGGTTCACTTTCTGCAGATGTGCACGAGTCGCCGTCACCCTGTTCGACTCGTTCGCCGTCTTCGACCTTGAGCTTTTGGCCTCACTTCTTCTTACAGACCTCCAGGTTCTTTAGGATTTTCCTGGACCTTTCAGGATTTGGGTTTCTTAGGCTGGCGTGTGGCACCGCATTCAGTTCAGTACACAATATCCTAAGTGTGTGTGTGTGAAGCCCTCATAGTCACAGTGAACCTTTCGGTTGTTTTATAAACTGCTCTTTTCTGCCTCCCTATACGGGAGGCGTGTGTGTGTGTGTGTGTGAAACCCGTGGAGTCACAGGGAATCTTTCGGTTTTGTGAAGCAGGCGACCATCCATGTCGTATGAGTGATGGTCCAATGAAGCGGCCACAGTGCATGCGGATATCAGGGCTGATCACCGTGACGTACCTGCTCTGTCGCGATGTTCTCAAGCTATTACTCCACCCTTCCAACAAAGGGGAGCGCCATTGAAGGTTCTACTTTCAGTTATTTAAGAATCAGGTGGAACTGAGATGGCGCCAAGCACTGGCACGGGTGGAGAACTAGTTGATCTGCTCTCATCATTGCGATGGCTGTCAATCCCAAGCCCCACAAGCAAGAATCCACATCGCACAACCTCCACAATAGTGCCCCTTAAAGAAGCATCAAGCAAGAGTGCCCCTGCAAGAGTGTACTAAGTGTACTACAAGAGCGTCATAGAAAAGAAATGAAAAGAATATCAAGAAAGGGTGTCCCACAAGAGCATACGAGCGTCACACCATCTGGGATATTGAGGCACACCTTGTCTGCTTCAACTATTACAGTAGCTGAGGTCCGCGCGTTGCACCCAATGTTCTTTGAGGTGAATGCATGCTCGAGTCGCCACCGGCACTGGCGAATAGAAAAAATGCTGACCAAAAGCCTGTTTGCACACAATGCCTTCCGACCATCATGGAGTCGTCCACCTTGCAAAGTTTCTGGCCCTTCGAGCTGTTGGAGCATTGGACAAAAGCAAAAGTAGGAAACCTGTATGCACTAAGGTATCTTGCCAACTGTTCCCTTTGTCGCGAAGCGATACAAAGCTTGTTTCGAAGAGAAAGTTCGGCAATGGCGGCACATCCAAAAAGTTGCGGCTGCCATGCACGTGGATGTGGCTGTGTAAATGTTTGGCACCCGAGATAGGCACAGGGGAGATCAGAATTACTGTAGTCTGGACAGGCAACAGCCGCGGGAGGAATTCGGGCGGTTTTGGGCGTGTCCTCTGGCATTCTGACAGACTGCGGAACCGTTGTCTGAAAGTGCATCATCATATGACCACACCCCGGATGACAAGACATCACCCTGGCACGTCGCCACATCCGAAATCAACACAGCACATCTGATACCAAACACCACGCGTCACATCGTGACAAGTTACATCATTGCATCGTGACCAACAAACCGAAACCTGACAGTGACATGTCACCAGGCACCACCCATTGCATTTTGCTCCTGGCCCGTTTCATTTTGTTTGAGACTTCCTCCTCCCAGTTCTGCGGAACCTTACTTGGTACTTCGAACGAAATCACCAAATCTTGACGAACGCTCGCCGTCATGCAATCACAACAAAAATTGAGCATATAGATAAGAGGAGGATTAGATCAGAGCATCAGAGCAGGGTCGCATGTATCTTTTTTTGCATTTTAAATATCTTGTCGAGATTGTAAATCTCTTTTGAAAGTCTTCCATTCCAAGACCTGTCCGGCCGGTGAAGGTCATCAATTTTTCTTTTTTTTGATGATGCAAGCAGGCGGCCGTGGCTGGGCTGGCAGGCGTCCAAAACACTGACCCATTCGGACCCCCAGCCTCTAGGGCAATAATAAGTTAGCACAACAAAAAACATAATTAAGCAAATGCAAGCAAAACAATCAAACAGCTTTCATTTGGGGGCTGCAGGTTTTTGAAAAAGCTTGCCCCTCAGCAGTTTCAGGATACAGTTGTCGGGAGGGGCGAGAAAAGTGGACAAGCTCTTTTATGGACAACTGCGACCACTTATATACATTTAGAGACTTAGAGACAACACTTTGGTGTAAAGCACAGCTTTGCAAACCAGGCCTTTGAGTGTCCATTGCGGGCACCCCTGTCGAAGCCTCTGGTACATAAGCTTTGCAATGGCACTTCAGCTGTCAATCTAGGCTACCCACCATCACCGGCAAAGGCGATACCTCCTCGCGAATCAAAGTCACAAGGCTACACAAAGTCTTGCGCAAACTCAACCGGTTTTGTGCAAAGCACCGCAAAATAGGACCACATAGTTGCAGAAACAACAAACAGGTCTTGTGTGTTGCGTAAAATCTGAAACACAACTCCACGAGGAAAAGTTTGGATATATTTTTTTGTTGGTGATCTTGGTTCCAAACTGATCAGCATGTTCAGGCGATATGAGGAAAAGTTGCGCGGCTACGCGTAAACACAGAGCCCAAAAAATGTTTGACGCATGGTTCCAGGTCTTTTTCCGGCGACCCCCACCTTCGTTTTCGACAACAGGTGCACACTTTAGCAGCCTGCACCGATTGAAATGGCAATATTCCCTCAGCTTTTGAGCCTTGACACGCGAAGATGTGCATGTCTGGATATGTGCGGATGTGAAGCTGTGCGGGTATTAAGATAATGTGCATGTCTAGGTGTGTGCAGGTGCGAAGATGCGCAGATGTGAAGATATGCATATCTGGATGTGTGCGGATGTAAGTTGCGATGATATAATGCTCATGGTGTTGCTCATGTGTTTAAAAGAAGAACCCTTCGCTCAGGCGCTCTCAAGGAAAAAAAACACACACTTCATTTTTCCTGCAAGCCTTCGCATTCTTTTGAGACAACACAATAACATCCTTCAGGTCCAAGACCGGTCCCAAGCAAATGTTGTAGCTGTCTCACCTGAAATCATCAGTCTACTCATGCCACTTTAAGCGGTTGTCACTGAACGCATAGAATTGCGTCAACTGTCACAACAACATTCAGAAACACGGTAAACTCTAAACAGCCTCCTGCTGCGCTTCAGCATATCTAGCAGATACATCAGCCAAGCGTTTCTCCTTTCACTTGGTCTTGAATGCACGCAATTCCCTCTCGCAACCATGCTCAAGGATCTCCTGATCTGCCAACTTGTCTTCCACAGCGGTCAAAGTGTCCGCAAGCTTTGAAGCCCTCACATTTTCCTCCGGCGAGAAAACTACGGGTGAAGATCAAATATGGTCTTCCTTTTTCCGGATGTTTTCACAAACTTTGTGTGAGGGGGCTTCTTGTGGGAGACAAAAGAAAAGAAGCAAATGAGCAACCAAACCTGTGCTTTCAACTTCCGCTAGTTTTTTCTTAACTTTCTATAGACACCCTACTTTGACTGGTACTTGCATTTCTTTGGGCACAAGGTGTTGAAAGTTCACTGGAACTTACATCGCATCAACTTCCCTCTGTACCACATTGATGTCCCATGTTGTAATAATTGTGCCTACTTGCCGCTTGCGGTCAACCTTCGCTGCTAATCGCAACACTGCGAACATCCCACGCGCATGTCTTGCTGGTATTTATAGGGATTTATAGGGCCTGGAGGGTGAGATCTTAGGCCAAACTCTTGCTGGTCTTCACAGAGATTAATGCGCCCAGTCGTCAACTTTTGCTGCGCTGCTGCGTGTTGGATACTGTGTTTCTTTTTTAAACACAGATACGTCACCAAACATCCAAAGCACCCTTCACAGCAAAGGACCAAAAAGTCCAAAAGGTTGCTGCCCACAGACGAAACCAATGGCTAACTCCACTGCCTGCGCCTGAGCCTAGATTTTTTGAGTCAGCACTTTCTCTTGGTGGCTGCGACAACCCTGTATTCATGGTTGTCCTCTCTCTGTGAAGGCACCCACCCTTTGCCTGCCTTCATCCACATTTCCTTTGCATGCCCCAACAGCTGCTCTCTATCCTTCAACAAAACAATACTATGAAGATAAAGTTCGCAACGGCCCAAGCAGTTCATCATCTGTCCTTCAACTTCAACTCGAGCTGTTCAACTCTGAGTTTGTTGGCTCTACCCGCCTGCGTCACAACATGATGTATCGCCCCTGCACTTTCATTTATATAATTTTCCCGGGCAAATGTGGGCGCAGAATGAGGCAGAATGAGCGAAAAGCATCGGAAGACCTCCTTTTCATTGCGAAGGTCTTGTTCAGCCACCTGCAACGTAAACACCCGGCGCTTTCCAGCGCCATCGCACTGCTCCAGTGCCTCCAGTCGCTGGCTTAGATGTGCGCAACGAGATTCGAGGGCCTTGCAGGACGCATCGAGGACTCAAAGTGGCGCAAGGCCATGACTCAATCCTTCACAACATCTAATTCCCGTGACTAACCTATTTTTGAACAAGCCCTTCAGCACACCCCACACAAGCAGCAACTGCTAATTGGAAAGTGATTACTATACTGTATATGTTTGATGGCTGTGTCGTACCAAGAGCTTTTGCGATGGAACCAGAGTACGCCACAACAGGAGATGTCGCAGGCGACATGTGAGCATAGTAATGTGTATTTGGGGCGGTCGTGTAAATGAATCGAATGTCCGAACGCCCAACAGCCCACGCATTAGCTGGAATCGTGCCAAACCCTGTCATGGCCCTCGTGGCTGCTGGGATACACACCGAACAGGGTCGGATGATTTGCGCTGATCTCATCCTGACATCGCCACACTCCTGCGCGGTAGCATTCTTCTTGGGCGTTGAGGCATTGCCCACTGCCTGCGTTCCTGGCAAAATGCCCTGCTCATCTGTTCCAGCGCCCACTCATTTAGCATCGCCCTTGCCGAGTGCTTCTGCAATTCATCCACTTGTCCACGAATTTTGACCTCTGATGAACTTCTTTTCAAATCATCGTGCGTCCGCCTGTCTTCCTCTTCCTTCTCATCTTTCAAGCTCTCTTCGCCCTGCAACGAACGCCTCAAGCTGGATGATCTGCCACTGCATTCTGATCTTCTCTCCATCCTCCTCACGTTCAGGCTCTTCGGGCTCCTCCTTCCTTGTTGGTTGTCTCCTTCTCCCGCAACTCGTCCTCGGCTGCTGAATTTCACCCAATGGTCGTACGCTAGCCACGCCAATCTCAAGGCCCCAACTCAAGAAAAGCACGTCAGTGTCAACAACCGCCAAACCCACCAAGGGATCGTCCTTCTCACCTTCTTGATCTTCCTCCTTCATCCCTGCTGCCTTTCCTCCTTTTACATTGACAACACTGGCGCCAAAGCAATCTTAGACAGCTTTTCTGTGGGCTTCTTAGGCTCTCCTGCGCCTGACCCCCTCATACGGTTTGCTCTTCCAATCTTTTGGTCGCCTTCATCGATCAACTTAATGAAGTACTTCAACCCGTTCACGGGAGCTTCGCTCGGGATCTTTGTGCCCAGGTGACTGCCAGATGGCTCGCGTTGAAAGGTGTGGGATCCCTGTGGAAAGAAGTCCTGCTGCTGCGCGCCTTACTTGACTTGTCTTTCCACCACTTGACATCCTCTTCGGTAAGGAATGTGTCCTCCAAACGTGCCCACATACTTGCTGCTTTCACCTGACGACAAGCAACGCAACGTCATCTCATCTCACGTAGCTTTCCAACAAACACCCACTCTGGACTGAACTCACGGGCGTCACGTTGTCCGGCAGGCTCTTCATCTTGCCACTCATGTACCTCCTCGTTGACAGTTAACACGCCCTTCCTTTCAGCCCATGCTCACATAGCAAACCGCATGAGCGATACTTGGGCGACAAACTGAACGCGCCATATATACAGCAGCCCACCTACTCCTACTCTACATCACATCGGCTGCAGACTCTGGCTCATCATCTTTATTACAGAGCTTTGCGAAAGCCCCTTCTCGGGGAGCGCGGCGGACTTTGCTGCGCTCAACACCTGCCACTTAATTTTGACGCGTTCTTGGTCTGGACGGACAGCGACGCCTTCATCTATTAACTCCATGTTCCTCTTCAGTAGCTGAAATTGTTGATGGAGTGGACCGTGCTCCTCAATTCTCCAAGTCTTTGCGTCCGTGAACTGAACGCCGAGCAAGCTCCCTCTTGTCTTCTCCTCCTTTCTTCTCTTTCTCTTTCTCTTTCTCCTCCTCCTCCTCCTTCTTCTTCTTCGTGGTCAGCTGCATCACGTCCTGCTCCAGTCCGGAGTCCGAATTCACCAGTCACGGGGCAGAAGCCTTTCGACCACTGAGCTGCTGCGTTTGTCTGGCGCGCTTCAGCTTGTGTTTCGCGTTGGCGGCGACAATCGCTGATGGTGCATCCAGTAATGCGTCTTCCGCGTCCAAGGTCAAGAGGGCCTAGCCAGTACGCGTCTGCGCGCGCAACTTCCTGACAAGCGCGAACGCTGACACGACTTTCCACGCGCCCATCTTTCCCAGCCTCCCTTCTTCATGCTTGCAGGCCAGCACAGGTCCTCTTCGCTCGCCTCCCGGGCGTCTCTCCTTTATCTTTTCGCGTTTACCCCTTTCCTCCTCGAGTGACATCATGTAGAACTGCTTGCAGGACCTCCTCCCAAGCATGTCATCACCCTTCTAGCCTTCTCCTTTGGACTCATGGCAGGCTGAATAGAATTCTTTCTTGGGACCTCCTTGCATCCAAGATTCTCTTCTTCCTCCTCCTTGGGACAGACTTTGGTAAGTTGTCGCTTGCATTGGCGGGAACCCATATACAGGCATCACCAAAAAATAAAACCTCCCAATCTCGTCTGCTGCTGGGATCAATGGATTGACCAGCATTGCTCTGGGATCTGGAAGTGTTCGATGGACTTTGCTTCCACTGCCCCAGTTCTTGCGAGGCAGATATGGCTGTCGCTCCAAGATACAAACGGTCCACCTTTGCGTTTCGAGCGCGACTTTGCCTGAATACTTGCGATCCGACGACGACCAGAGGACGATGACCCTGTTGCGCGACACGCGCTAAGCTGCGCGGCTGACAGATGAGCGCAGCAGCGCATGTCACCCGCATTCTTCACACCAGTCTTCTCCTCCTGCAAAGGCCCTGAGCGTGTTGGTAAACTGAACAGTGCGCACAGATTCAGCTGGCCGAGCATTGCGCAGCTGCATACTGAATCTTGCGAGCTTCTGCGACAGCTTCAATGAGGCGCTTCCTCTTGGCAACAGCCGGAACGCGCAATCTTTGGACTTGGGCTCGCTTCTCAACAAACGTTGTGTAAGTGTTTTCTCCGAGATCTTTTCGGCCACCCCGTTCTTCAACAGGTCGCTTGTCCTCCTTTGCGCCTGTGGCCACACACGGTTGGCACCATGCGTACATGGGAGATGAGTCAGGCGCCTGCGGCGTGTTGGCAGCTTTGGAACATTGACAGTTTCTGCGCAATCTCAACTCTCAACTGCCATCTTTTCTTCCTCTTGGTGTTTGCGCTGCTGCAGTTGAGCCCGACGTCGCCAACTTCTTGCACACTTCTTCAACTTGCTTGCAGCTGTGAGCGATTGCTCTGCAATCTCTTCCGCTGCAAGCGAAGGGATCTCTCCACCTTCCGTCGTCCGGTCACGACGAAAGTGCTCCGGACAGCAACGGATAATGGCTGATAGGGACCTATGACCTCATCACAAAGTAGTTCCAGATCAACCCGGGCGCAACAAAAGCGAATGTTGCCCTTGGCCCTGCTGCACTGCCGGGATAGCAATCGCGTGTCCTGGAACTCCACCACATTCTCGATCTGCTCTCAAGCTCCACTTCCATCTTGTAGTCGAAGTCGTCGGCGTCCACTGCTTCCAACGGGCGCCCTCTCCCTTTGCAAAAACCTACGCAGCTGGACCTCCTCCAAGTTGTCCAAGCTTGTAGAATTCGTCTGGAGTTTCAGATACATCCGCGCGCGAGTCGGGCGCCGTGACCATTCAAGGGTTGTATACAATGTTCTGCGCGATGCTCCAACTCCTCAACTCGCCCAACTCCTCAACGCAAACGTAGAAACATTCTTCTGAGCCCTCACAGCGCTGAGGAACTTGTTCATGTCACGTGTCATCTAGTCTTCAACCCTCAGCTCTTCGTAGGACCACAGTGGTTTGAACCCGAAAGAAGGTACGCGAGTCGCTCGGGTGGTAGCGTGGAAAGCGCACGTTTTGCGCGCGGTCTGGGCCTAAGTCCGCCATGTGGAAACGTGATAAACGTGTGTCCCTGACACATCAGCTCAAAACGTCAACAAGTTGGTCGTATGTGTATACATATGTATATATATATATGCATATATGTTGCGCAGAGGCATCCAATCCTGCGCAAAGCCAACCAGTCTGCCCAGTCTTCGCCTAACTAGATGCTTTAGGATTAGCCATCACTGCGCTCAGAACATACGTCAACAATGACATTACTGTTACAACGCGCGCAACAGTTCCTTGTTTGCACTGAGGTGTACGTCAGCATCAATCACGAAGCATCGCGAAAAGCAACCTCCTTAATTATTTGAAGCCAGCAACTGCGTGAAGTCACCAAAGAATTTACGCGCATGTATATATATATATATAACAAACTCAATGCCTTTTCTCTCTTCATACTGACTTCCCGTCTGCTGTCTGCCAGACATGATTGACTTGCATGACCACAGCTGAGGCGCATCCACATCCGCAGCAACTCCCCTGGTCGATGGAGGCACGTCCTGTTGCAACCCAAATCCAAATAGGACCAGGGATCGAGGCTTCGAAGCACTCTGCAGAAACACGCGCGCACAAGTGAAGCTTGCCTGAGAACACGCGCGCCCGTCATACATACGTACATACATACATACATACAATCATACATACGTAAATACATACATACATACATACAATCATACATACATACATACATACATTAATACATTACATACATTACATACACATTACATACATTTCCTTGCATTGCAGCACAGCGCATTGCATTACATTACCTTACACACATACATACATACATACATACATACATACATACATACATACATACA